GTGTGTAATCGCCTTGTATATGTTTTCAATAGCCGTTTGAATGATTGCAGTCTTTAAATCCTCATCCGCTTAGTGTAGACTCGTAATGCGATGATGTGCGCCCGAAGTGAAAAAAATGTGAAATCGTGAACACAAAATAATAGTAACGAAACGCCAAACTAAGCAAAACTATTTACGGACAATAGCGAAACAAGTTTCAGTTCAACAACCTGAGACTATCTCTTTTTTGTGCTAGCTTTGTCGACACTCCGCATTCGATAGTGCCGTACGTTTGGTAAGAACTGGAAGTCTTTATAATCTGCTAATTTGTTTTATTCTGATTAGATTCATTATGGAAAGTGATCGATCGCATTTATATATTAAACTAATGGGTGAAACCGCAGTCAGTCAATAGCTACCTTTTGGAATTGCCAACCAGCACCATGACAATGATAAGCAAACATTTTATCAACAGGTCTACAGTTGATATTATTATGAAACGCTATGGGAAAATGTTTTTTATCATCCTGATCTGGCACTTGCAACCATATAATATGTCAGTTAAAAGATAACATTGTTTTGGTTTACTCGAGGTATTGCTAGATAAAGTTTCGAACAGTAGCAATTAATCTGGAGCCAGAAGTCGGCAACGAGTGCCTTTCAAGTTTAAAACAGGAAAATCCGCATGCAGATCTGACATCTCGTTTTTTGATCAGACTAGATGATGAATGCATTATTTCAGTTCTGTGAAATGCATGCAGTTTTACCTACAGCTTGCAAAAAAGAACAGTTTCTCAATTACTCGCAAAAATGGCAATTCTACTTGGAGAAATCTTATTAGTGCGCAATTATACAAAAAGCAATTTTTATTATTGACGCGATTTTCAACTAATCATCCAGGTTGATAAAAACAGTAAAATGTATGGTTGTTGCCATCTGTTTGGCATGATAAACTCCAAGAGAGTAATGAGGAATTATTTCATGCACCTGTTAAGCAAATTATTACTAACTAAAACATATCTGGCCTACCACGATAATTGGAAAATCTGCGGTTTACTTCAAATAAATTCGAAATTATTTTACGTCAGTAATACTATAAAGATTCAGCGTCAGCAATCATAGTTGACAATCTGTAGAAAATCATTATTAAGTCTTCGCCCTCCTGACGATAAATTAGATGATGTTTTCCATTAAAATCCAATATTATTCAAATTCAGGCCATAAAATCCTAAACATTTCCTCTCGGCTAAGCTTTATTGGACTTTAACGTAATTCTCTCCTTCCCTTCTTTCATTTTCGGTATCATTATTGTCATGTAATCGTAAAGAATCGTCAACGCTTTAAGTACAAATGAACTTGTTCAATGAAGGATCTGATGTTTGAAGCAAACGGGATTAAATGCCTTCATTAGTGTTTATGACCGGTAACTTTTTAATTTACAAATATCAGTTTCGGGTCATCAATTATTTATCAATCAATCAATTGTTCAGGTTAAACAAAAAAGTATAAATATAAAATTTTGCATTTTGATTATGGAACCGGTTTTCTAGACTGGAAAACGAATTTTATGCGTAAGTGTAAATAGTTACTGTCCTTCTCCTAGCCAACCAATAAATTAAAAAATAAGGGTGTTTGAAAAATATTATTAGGTGGATAGATTAGAGCACTTTATTGCTAAGTTTAAAGCCTAACATCACAAACATTATCGAAACTCCAAAAGGTTGATCTCCAAAAATTATCGCTTTAGTCTTGCAGCGATATGCTAGCTATAACGAAAATTCGATATACAGGTTTGCATGAGAAATGACTTAAATCAGAATTGCTCTCGAAATCTGTGAATCTTGCACACTTTTAACCGGTATATTAAATTTTTTGAGCGTGATTGGGGACCTGAAATCGGTGCAGGAAAAAAATATATTATTGCTAGGAGCAAAAAGTTCCTTTTGTTAGATCACCCTGTAAATAAACAAGATGGTCAAGAAATTTTAAAAATTTTTTGAGATACACAGTTTATCGTAATGCCTGTGGTGTTGAAATAAAAATGAAAACGTTTTTTGTCCAACTGAGAGCATGTGGAACTTTCACCAATTTCGCATTGTTTCATCTGCCATTCCGTAGGAACTTTGTCTCAACCACTAGGTTTTTGCAAAAACACGCACTAATCGATAAATAATTGCACTAAATAACACTTCAAACAGAAACTGAATAGCTCTCAGCAATCAAAATTCATCCAGTTCCAAAATGAGCCGAAATTGCTTTCAGTTTCTTCTAGTCTTCTCATGTTTCTAAATCCATCGTCAAAAAGCTTTAACCCGATGACCACAACAAGCTATAAGCTAAGCAATAAGCTAGAAAAGAAACTGATTTCTTTGCAATGAATGATCGATAATTCAGAGTGAGAGTAAATTAATTAAATATTTTTTTACTATTTATACCGAACATATTCCTTCTTCCGCCAATGAATTCAATTCAAACAAGATTCTGATAATCTTGTTTTATTTTCCGATTTACAAGTCATCAGAACTTTTTATACTCACATCAATTTTTTTCTGAACAGATCGATGTAGTTTACTGACATATAGTGATACGGGCCTATGTTGCGATGATATAAAAGGTTGCGTTTTATAGAAATTGTGATATAAATAAATTATTTTTCATGAGTTGGAAAGAATCTCAAAAATGCTACAATCTTAAATTACTGAATCTTACTGGGATCTTAAAATGCTGCTGACAAAGATATCGGCAGTTATGCTATTTTACGTAAGAATTATTACATTATTATCAAGCCGTTAAAATATGAATTTTTAGACATTAACCCTGAAACAGTATATTTTGAAAAACTCGTTTAAGTTAACCTAAAATTTAATGGGGAGAGACTCTATCCATTATTGAATTTATTTGGAACTTTGCAAGCTGATGGTCTATGCCGCAGATTTATGTAAGAATGGAGGAGAAATATCAGCATATCTGTTCGGATTAAGCAAATATTTTCAAATTCCTCTTAACTCCATTACCATAAGAAGGCCATATAGGCTGCTATCGAACGAAATGCAAATGTTATGATCGATAAGTATAAATAATTGATCAGTCTGTGACGAAAATATGTTGTTATTAATTAGACCTTCGGGTTCTTATCGTTTAATGCGTAATAAATTCGTTTTCGACCGTGAAATTTGCAAAGAAATCCCAAACCTTGCCTTCAAATCATGACTTGACAATGGAATGGTTGATGGCGGTACATTGATAACTGCTCTAACTTCTTTTAGTCGGTTATTAGGAACATTTGGACAATAATACAAAAATAGAACTATAATGTCAAAGAAATCTGGATTGCGATAGCAAGCTTATTCTCATGAAGTTCTTTTGAGTAGATAGTTATTTTCGGATTTTTTGGAGGAAAGAGTGAAGTTTTACGAGCCTCCTGGTTTCACTTTTCCTATTACGGAAAGCGTTCGATCTTTTCAAAATCCAAGCAAAATTTCTCTGTTGGACACTTTTTGCTTTCTCCTTAATCACGCACATATTCTGCTCCGAATTAAAAACTGCTTTGGTCCCCAAGTAGAACAGCACCATATTTTTGTATATTTTGCAAGCATCAAAACTGCAATTTACTGGCTTAACTGAATGAAAATGACAGCTCAATTCATTGTGAGTAAACCTACGTTAAAACTCGTTAAGCTTTAGCCTAGTTTAATTCCAGGACACGAGATTTCTATACATAAACATTAACCATTACGTCCTTCTTTGGAAAGCAAACGATGCCGTTTCGTATCGAACGCGACGCGATTATCTGTCTTCACGCTTGATATAGATAGCGCAACATATGACACGTGCAGAATTAAAGTGCGAAAAGCGTCTATTCGCAGACCAGTTTCTGGCGCGTATTGGAAAAGGAGTATCGCATCAATAAAAGCGCAAACTGATCTAAAAATAGGAAGAAAAATGTTCGCAACTCGAGCACTTCTGAGGTCGTGTTGGCCTATTTTCAGTGGCGTACTTTTAAAGAATTTCAACTTGGGATCACTCTCAGAGCTTTTATACGCTGAATTGCGACCGGACAAAATATTGAAGACTGGATTTCAAGACGGGCGATATCCGGTTTTTAATTAGATATGAAGCGTAAGTGTGTTCTGGACATTTAGCCCGTTTGGCCCTTCGAGCCGAATGAAATGTAAAATATAAAGTAGTGGACTATATGAAAAAAAAATGAATTCTTGAACAATGGGATTTGAACCTGTCAAGTGCAGATGTTTCAAGTAGAAAACATTTTCGTTGGCCTTTTATCAGCGATAACTACTACGAAAGTTTTACGAATATACTTTCTAGGGGCACTTGCCTCTTTTCGCAGAGGCGCTGAGTCTGAGTATTAACCACCATAAAAACAACGATACTTCTTCCTTCTTTCCAAACGAGTTTTCAGCCGTCAGGAGTTTAGCGACCTTCTTCGAAATCTTAATTGAATCTTGGAAAAATTCAGTTTTTCTCTTTTTGCATGGCATTGCATTTAACGTTTGGCTAGTGTTTAGACTCTTTGTTTTCTCCTACAGCTATTAATTAGTATTTGCTCCTTGATGTACTTCAGTACTTCATCGCCAGGTTTCGCTTCTTGTTGCAACCATCTTTCATTGAACTTCGTATTTATTACCTGTCCTGCTCCCGCGACCAAAATTCCATTCTACTGTGTTAACTTCAGTTTCCATCATTGAACTAAGAAGTGCTGAATTTTACTAAATGCTAAATGCACGCACTTGCAAGTTAATGGTGATATTGGCACGCGATTAAGCATTAATCTTGTATCCTGTTCGCGAAATTATCAAATTTGGAGAACGAACAGACAAAAGTCACTACCGTTTAAAGTGATTTGCATGTTTTTCGAAATTTATCCAAAGAGATGCCAGATGAAATGAATGACAAAATGAAGTTTAATAATAAATAATAATAATGTATACCAACTTATTTGTGCGGCTTTTATAGTTATTGCTATTAATTGCCAATATATCAACATTTTTGTTTTGTTTCAGATAAAACCAATGCGACTATTCTATCGGATCTTCACGCCTTTGAAAATTCGACCAATCAAAATTGTGAACACCGCTTCTCCAACCGGTGAAAAGCAACTTCAAATTGTTCCTGTAACTTCTAATAACCATATCACCACAAATCCTCGTGTCGAACCGCTTGGCGATGCCAGCAAAACCCCTAAAGTTGAAGAAAACCGCGTGGAAACAATTCAAGTTAAGCAGGTTTTGCCTGCTCGGGAAGAAACGGAAAGAGAGCAGCAAAATAAAGAAATTCTGTTGGCAAATTTACAACTTCAAAGTAAGTCAAAGGCCGTTCAAAAGGCAGAAACTAAAAAGGTGCAAGTACCTGAGAAAATTGTCAGAGAGTGTATTTTTGAATACGAAGAGCCTGACGAGGAGGAGATAAAAAGATTTGCTGAAAAGAGAGATCGAGAATGGGCGCTGCAGAAAAAATTAGAAGAAGAAACGAAAGCGGATAATGATGACTTCTTTTTGAATAAAAATGCTTATCCGACCAAAAAGCGAAAAAAGAGCAAACATTCAAAAAATGACTCAAATGGACACAAAGAGAAAAGGCGAAAAACTCACTCAGATAAAATTCACGCCGAAATTACAAATAACGATAAATCTGATTTGAAATTAAAAGTGAAGATAACTACCAATGGATATAAGCATAAGCACCACAAAATTGAAAGCGCTGCAGAACAAATAAACAAAGAAAAGCTGCTTCAAATGAGACAAGTGAGACATAAGCACATGTCCGGTTCGTCAGGAGATGAGAAGAGTCAACCCGCAATACCTACGATTAAACTACCTAAATCGCATATTTCTGAAAGAACGAAAGAATGCAAAAGTGGTGAACCGGAGCCGAAGCGGAGAAAGGAAAATCCGGACACGTCCGAATACACATTCAGCAATAGCGACTCTGAGATTGGTATCAAACCGAAACTTGAAGGGCAACCAAAAGCTAAAGTTGAACCCATGATAGTTAAACCTGTATCGTCGACAGTTGAACCGTCTTCTGCAGGACCCAGTGTATCTAAAGCTGTACTGCAGTCAAGCGGAAATCCCTGCAAATTAGCAAAGAAAAACTCGTGCTTGAAGAGTACACAGTTTGACTCCGCTGATCGTCAGAACCAAAAGACATTTCTTAAATCAACTGTATCTAATTCCGATAAATACACCAAAGATCAGAAAATCGGCCAGGGCAAGATGGAAAGCAGTAAAGCATCGGGGTCAATGAGTAACAAGGTGCTTCCAATCGGAAGCATCACAACAAATAACAAAACACTGGACAGAAAGATTGCTAGTTTACAACAAAGGTGCACTATTGAATCAAAGACTCCAACAAAAACTGTACATTTCAGCAGTAAAAGTGATACTAAAATAAGTAGCGAAAGCGAGAACAGTAAAATAGCAACTGCTCAGTATCCTCCAGGATTTACGGTGAGCAAAGTTGAAAGTGGAACAAAACGCAAGGCGGAAAGCACTGAGCAAGGCAAGCGGCCGAGCCTTGAAATCACTTTAATTCCTCCTAGTACGTCCTCAGCTTCAAAAGCAGCAGAATCAAAGCCTATGGCTAAGCGACCCCCACCTGGGACTATACCGTTGGAGAGAATAAAGAATGCGGTTAATTTAAAGTCCGGCATCAGTATAATTCCGAAAAAAATCGACAGAACTGACAATATTGGGGTTCTTGACCTATCTAAATCAGGAAAGTCACCCGAAAACGCTTCTCGTTCGTCACCCAAAACTGAGCCAATCAATGGCCTCAATTCTATGGTAAACAGGCAAATTGGAAATATGATTCAAAAACCAGTGGGTTTACCAAACAAAGCAACACCCGAAAACAAAAACGTGCAACTTTCGAATTTACAAATGTTATCCAAAGTAGCAACGGAACATCCGACATTGAACAAACCGACTCCCAATAACCCCAATAAAACCAAACTGCAACTTCCCAATTTGCAAACGATTGGAAAATTCCCTTCACCAAATGGCGCTAGGGGTCCTAGCTTACAACGGATGCTTCCAAAGTTGAATGGTATTCAAAAGTTCAGACCGTCAAGTCCACATATACGAAACATACGACCCAATCAAAATCAAAACATCAGGAATATTCCCAACCCAAGTCTATTGCTTAGCCGGAATCAAAACCTAAGTCAAAATAGAGTTGTATCATCTGCTGGGGTTGTGTCAACCAGCAGTATTCCCGAGAGAAAAGTGACAACACCAAAGTCTTCTCCAGTACCAGTAACTTCCAGTACCAGTGCTTCGACCACAAAGGAGTTGCCATCTCTCAAACCTACAGCGTCAGAACAAAATGTTCCTGATATCAAAGAGATTTCAGTTTAACTCGCTCAGAATTTCTTACTGCAAAAATGTGATAATTTAGGGTTGGAGGACCGAGGTAAAGTGAATCACACAATCGCAAAATTAGGCTTGTCGGTCAAATGATGCTGATGGGTAGTTATATGTAAATGTAGGTGTTTATTATTCATTTAAAATGTACGCATTAGTTTCTAACTACTTCGTCAAAATGGACCGCTCCACAAACCAAGATCATTGCAATATTTCTTAAATTTTAAAATAGATTAAAATGTAAATAACAAACTCATTTTGACGATAATATTAACGGCTAGACATATTTGTTTTTTTTTTTATTTATACATATGCATTAAACATACAGGTATGTACAATGCATTTCGCAGGGGTGAATAAATCACCTATTCGCGAGTCTGCAAGGTTCCTCTACTACCGAAGGGACTTTCATTTCAATCAATATTTTCTTACTTGTAACTTAAGACTTTATGCGACTCGCATTGTAAAAAACTTCTAAAAACGTCTAAATCATGCGTTCCTGTAGATATACAGTATGGTCCTCAACAAATGGGACAAGATTCACTGACATATAGTCTAAACCAAAATTTTGCGTTTTAGGAAAACTTGTCTTCTCTGAAAGTTAATAGTTTCCGAGATACCGGGTGTCAAAGTGTAAATACAATTTTCGTTTATTTTCGTTGAATTAGTTGAGGACCACCCCGCACTACAATTAGACTGTTAAAGCATTTAGTTCCTCATTTCACCGACAGTCTTACTAAGTTGTACCTATTAAACGTTTAAAACGTTTGGTTATGATTGAATTTTGCGTTGTTAATGTTGATAAGTTAATTTTTGTATAGGTAGGTACTCTTTGTTGTATATTTTCGTTATAATTTATCTACGATTTTAAAGTCTTGTCTTACGATTTTCTGTTCTGATATCAATACCTCATTGTTAATTTTAATGTACCTAAACATTTTTTAGATGTGTAAAATTTCACAAATATATTGCATATATTTTTAGAAGGGCAGCAATTATAAATACTGCCTACATATTCGCTAGGCATCATCTTTAGCATATATGGAGAATCTATATAAAAATATAATTTTTAAGTTGCAAGCCCAGTTATCTAATATTTTATCAGTAAGTATAAGGAAACGAATGTTTTAGATTATATATAATCTGTAGACAACACTGTAAATTATTCTACTTATTAAAGTCGTCGTGTAACTTTGTGTAGATTATTTGAAGCATTAAAATCGTATTACACAGTATGATTTGGTGCCATTTTAGAAAACTTTAGTTCAGTTATTTAACGTAACAAACAAATGCAGTCAACAACTTAACATGGCCACAGCGTATATCAACCATCCACACGCAAAATAAGTGGTTTAAATTAGTAAGTATTTTAATTAACTTACCGCAAACAGCTACAGTCAATTATGATTAATGCCAGCTACTCCATGTTCCTGAAAATCGAGACACAATACAATTAGTAATAATGTTGGAGAAACAAAATTTAAAACATCATAGAACTATAAACTGCACCTTAGAATGCTTAAATCGCAGGCGAAGTTTGCGGCCAAAATAAAGTTCTCAGTTCAAAATAAAAATGACAATAAACAAAAATGCAAAGGTTCATAGTAAACTAATATAAACGGAGAAAAAAAGGCAGAATTGAAGCACACGGACGTTAAAGGACATCAACGTTGACAAATAAGGTAAGTAAAATTACTATTATAATTGTTAACTATGTTCTCAACAGTTCTAAAATGCCGCTTTTCACGTCAAGCCGTTCAGCATCAGTTAGAAACAATATTTTTTCTGAGGCCTTAAAACTACCATGAAATTAAATATTTTGTAAATTGAATGCTGATGTTAATGACCTTCGCCCACCCAAGACGATTTTCGTCTTCCAGTCGTTTGTTATGCGTATTCTATATGTTTTCCGGAAACTGTGTCAATTTGCCGCGTTAAATAATCGCTTGGCAACTATTAAATGTATGCATTAGTGAGAAAAACGGCAAGTATCCGCTTGCGTCTCTAAAACTCCACTTTGCTGTACTAATGGAAATAGAAAAGGTAAGCTTGTGTTAAAGTTTGGACCCATTTATAAAAAAAAGTTTTATCAGATAATAAATGTCTTTCATATAAACCACGGCATTAATAAAACGCTGATAATGAGAAGTTGGGGAAATCGGGTAGAATTGTAATGCGGTAATTGTAATGCGGGAGTCCAAATCTTCTATCTCCTATTGCAGCAAAATGGCAACTTTTCAAAGACATAATGAAAAAACAAAAAAGCAAAGCTATGCTATGCACACAGAAAAGGAGAACAAATTTTACCGGAGCATAAGTCGAGCTCAGTGAAAATTAAAGTAAACATAGCTCAAAAAGAAGTGGATGAAAAAAAGGAGCAAATAAGCGACAATAACAATGATCGAAACAAGTAGAAAAAACATGTTGCAGAGTTCAGATGATAAAACTGAAGATTCACTGTGTCCCTATTGTCTTGAAAATTTCCCCAAAAGTTAGAGAGTTACGTTGATTCATTGTACCTAACAAATGTAAGTAGTGGGTTAGCAAGTCATATTTTTTTCGAATTTTGATCCTAAATCTTCATTTGAAGGGATCAATTCAGAGACGAAATAATATGTAGATACGCAAATCAAAAGTCTTGGCTCTATAAAAGTAAAAACAGTAGGTACCTACATAATAAATCGCTTTGGACATTGCAATCGCCAATCAAACAATAATTAAAAAGTAAAATGTTATTTATGAGCACATTTTTCGTAAGCTTGTCCTTTGTATCTGTTACAACTGTCTGATCAGTGATCTCGGGTCTTCTAAATTATAAAATATAGTTATGTTTTAAGTGAGGATTAGTATTGAAACCGTAAGTTTAGGCAAGTCTTTTAGGAACAATGCAATTATTGCTATAGCTTTAAGTTCTTGCATGTAGGTATGTAATGAATTTTAAGTCAGTATTTCCTCTTGGAAAAACGGAAATAGAAATTCTTCTTAAAATCTATGCATAGTCGAAGCTGAATTGGAGCGAAAATGAACAAGAAAGATTAATGCACTGCTTATGTTAACAATGCAAATAGAATTAATTTTGTACCCATAGGTAAGTTGAAGATACTTAGAATTCAACGAATCTTTGAGTTTGCATAGAATTTCGTGAATTTAGGTAAGTAGGTACCTACTGTTTACTCTATTTTTCTATTACTCATTGAACTCATTATACGAATGTATAATTATCGAGTTAAATTAAATAAAAAAATGGTAAGTTACTGCTTGCAGTAATAATTCGAAACTCTCTAGAATTCCTATTAAAAACATTCAGAAATATTATTTCTGTTTACAGCGGTTCAAATAGAATGTCTTGGGAAATCCATGGGTTCAATCCAATCCAATTATTTTTTATCTTGTCTTTCGATTGAAAACTTCAAACCTACACTTCTATCGATACGACCCGGAAGGGACTAAGTTTCGCAACTTCTACTAAAAGGTTTAAGCGCTCACCAGGATAGTAATTCAATAAGTAGGTAATGATTTGTACATGATTATTACAAGTTTTATCTACTTTCTTAACAAAATTGAGAACTTGAAAGGCAACATTTCATGAGTAGCTAAATTCAAACACAACCACAGTTAGGTAGTACATAGTAGATAGACGATGTATGGTAATAACGCTTTCAAATAATTCTTAATAAATGGTACGAAAACCATTCCTAATTTAAGGTTGTTTGACCCATTTAACGACGCACAGTTTAATAAAAATTCTAAATTACTAAATTTTCAAATAATACAAAATGTCACAAAAAAGTTCTCAAGGCTTGACGAACAATAAATATACAATGTACAAGTATGGCTTTTTGAAATCAAATAATTGGAATCAATTGTACGTAAGCACTGTAAAATTAACGAGTTTTATTTGTTTAGTCTTTAATCAGTCCTTTGCTAAATTTATTGAAAGAAAAAAAGAGCTTTTCAAAAGACACCGTTGATACAAATCTTAATATTAAAGAAAGCGCTCTCATTTTGTTGTTTATTTATTAAATAATGAGAACAGTGAATCGTCATGTTCATTTCTGTTCTGCTAAAATGTAAAGCAGACCAAAGAAACATACTTACGTCTAAATTAAAATATATATATAAATAATCTTTATTTCCTATAGAAAAAGGCTATCGACCCCATAGGTCCTAAATTAAAAAAATTCACCAAAGTTTATAATTTTATTCATATCTAATTCTAAGCAGTGAGATTTTATAGATAGACAAAATATTGAGAGAAAATATTTTGCCGCCTGACATTTCATAATTTATTATTTAGGTATCTACCTATGCTATGAATATTTCATGCTTTACTAATATTCTTTTGTACATGACTTTTCATGGTAACATTACCCTCATTTTCTAGTTGGAAATTATATTACTTTCAGTGCTCCGTAAAATATTGAAATCTACTTTTCATTATTAGAAAGTACTCGACCACTCCTTTTCCCTTGAGCAAAGACCATAAAGTTGACATGTTTAAGGGTTTTTTCATAAATTCTCTTCTGCTTCGTTTTAAAGCGGCCACTCTGTATAGTAAGACTGTAGTGAACTATCTAAACTATATAGTTGCACTTTAATTGACCGATAGTTTTCTAAAATATACTGAGCAAGAAATCAAAAGTAATTCAAGTGGGGTTTGTACCCAATCCGCCTTAACCCTTTTCTCCTTCATGAAGAAAAGGGTTAATGTTAAGGTTCACCTCGGACAAAATTATCATTGAAAATGCGGCCAACATGCAGACGACACTGCACTGATCGTGCAAATTTAGAACACTGGTGGATAAAATATTGGCATGGTTTCATAACTGGAGGTCAACACTAAACACCACAAAAACTCAGTTACTCTTACCAAACCACTAAACTTGAGATAACTCTCCAACAATAAAAGAAGAAAAATATGTTCTGGACCAACAAAAATCTACTAAACACGCATAAGGAAAAGTCAATCAAACGACGCAACACTCTACTACTCAAAGTACAAACAACGAAATACTTTTTAGATAAACTAAACACTACGTACAAGCAACAAGTAAGAAATAACAAATTGTAACAAGATAAATGACCAAAATCTTCATAACCCCCACACAATCCATCAATCTAACTGTTAAACATTCGAATCAACATTAGGTACAAGGATAACCTTAATGCGGCCGCAAATGCAGACAAAATTGAATAACAATTCCCGGAACTGGACCCTTGCCTTTCATCTTGTGAGATGCGAGACAAAACATATTTTGCGTTTATTCTTCTATTCGGATGGTTCACGTTAAATAAATATATCTTATAATGATTCTAAAAGGTTCTATTCTCCGCGTATTCATTGTGCGTATTTTCAATCAGCAGGTTCTTTCTCCGATTTTCAATGAAACAATTTTTACTGCTACATCTTGTTTTCAATTGCGCCACTATACAACAGAACAAGCCTTCTTTAAGCGTAAAAAATGTTTCTTTAGCTTTATTCAAACTAGTATCAAATATGGACTTTTGTTGTACAATATTCGGACGTTTTGGTAGCGGTTATTTCCCAACATTTTAAACAGTGAATAAAATTAAAATGTTCGTGTTAAAGATTTTATTTAAAATTCTTCATAAACCCCACATTGTGTGTAATTTTTATTCGAAACGTTGTTGATCATTAGTTCAGGTGAAAGCTGATAGTAAATAATTAGCCATTTACAACATGGCCTATACAAATGGCTACTTTCAACGATTTGCGTCCCATCGATCTAAACCGACGCCACGAAAGCTGCCACGTAGTAAAGCTTTAATACAGTATCCGTATATTCTTCACATTCTATCCGCATTTACAAGCAAAATATCTCGATCCTAGTTGGCTATGTAACAGCGTCAGGAAAACAAACCAGTGATAGCGTGACTGAAAACTGGTTTATCGGTCGCATCGGGGGGAACGGGACAAGGGGTTCAAAGCCCGCTTCACACAGAAGAAAAACAAAAATCTATAACAGCCTGCTGCCGCATTTCCACCTAAAAGTTCCGAGAGAACGTCGTATTTATACGCCGATGACGCCATCAACACTGATTGTTCGAAATGCAATATTTTGATATTTTGGATAACCGATAACAAGCAAATGGTTAAGAATGTGCTTACACTAATAAACGACGAAACACGTGCATTTGCATTAATTGCAGATAATCATGTTTGCCACCCA